GAACCCAGGGCCTCTTACATGCAAAGCAAGTGCTCTCCCGCTGAGCTACATCCCCTCTGCATGGGCAGGGGTGGGGGTCTGGGCAGCTCTCCTCTCCCCCCACCACCGCCGCACTGCCCACTGCTCAGCCTGCTCTGCCCCAGGGCCCCAAATACAGACTGTCAGGGGCTGCACTCCACCATCCCCATTGCTGCTTCTGAGAGTCTGTATCCTGGCCTTGGGGACATGCCCACCCCCCCACGCCTCTGCCCATCCCTGCTGCACCAGGCACTGTTGCCCTCCCACCACCCTGGCCCTGGTCCCACCACGGGCTGGGGTCACTCATAGCAGCTGAGGGCAATGGGTGCGCAAAAGGAGGGCTCGTCCGGGAGTTGAACCCGGGACCTCTCGCACCCGAAGCGAGAATCATACCCCTAGACCAACGAGCCGGGGCACTGCATGGTGGCAAGAAGTCCCTTATTGAGCTCCAGCGCTCAGGGAACTGGTTGGAGTGGGATGGGACCTGAGGAAGCTTTTTTTGGCCCCGATGTGTGTTCACACCTGGGAGGTCCCCCTTGTTCTCCCCTGGCTCCAGGGCTGGCACCTGGACATGGCCATGGGCTGTAGTTGCCCTGGCTCCCAAAGCCATGGGGCCAAGAGGACCAGCGGGCAGCAGGACCCCCAGGTGGAGAGAGCTCCTAGGCAAGGGGATGTAGCTCAGCGGGAGAGCGCTTGCTTCGCATGTAAGAGGCCCTGGGTTCAATCCCCAGCATCTCCAGCTTTTGCTTCCTCAAACCCACTTCCTCCACGGGGCAGTGGTGATAAACTCTACTTCTGCCTCTGGAAGGCATTCCCAAAGGTGTGCCCGCACCCTGCACCATGTACATGGTGGCAGTGGGCCCCTGGAAGCCCCTTCCCAACCCAGGAGGGGACGAGCCCAGGCCATGGCTGAGCCATGCCTCTTTGCCCACAGGGCAGCAGGCAGCACCTCAGTCCTGGCAGTGGCGGGACTGTCCCAGCAGAGGGGACGTGGCTGAGCTGGGGAGGCCGCCTGTCCCCCCTGCGCAGGGCAGCATCCCCCTGTGCATGCCCTGTCCTCGCAGGGGTTGTGCCCAGCGGTGGGTGCCCAAAAGGAGGGCTCGTCCGGGAGTTAAACCCAGCCCACCAGTGCCTAGTGCCCTCCTCTTCCTCTCCAGCCATCAGCTCCCATGGGATGGGGCTGCCCTGGCCCCCAACCCCATCCAGCCATGGGTAAAATTCTCTCGCTGTGAGCAGGATTCGAACCTGCGCAGGGAAACCCTATTGGATTTCAAGTCCAACGCCTTCACCCCTCGGCCATCACAGCCTGTGGCTTCCCCCTGTGGGGCAGGGACACCCCTGGTTTGCCCTGGGGTCTGCCTCTGGGGAGAAAATGCCTGCTAGCCTGCTGTGGGGCCATCTGCACAGTCCCAGTACCCTTTGGCAGCCACAGTACCCACACATGCTGGGGTTGGGAAAAGGGAATATCCAAGGGTATTCACCGATGGCTGGGAAAAAAATCCAGGTACAGCCGAGAGCCTGGCCACAGGGCAGGCACCAAAGGGAAGCGTCCTCCAGCGATGCCCTGGGAGACAATGGGTTTCAGAGGCAAAAGGACATGGAGATGCTGGGGGTTGAACCCAGGGCCTCTTACATGCAAAGCAAGCGCTCTCCCGCTGAGCTACATCCCCCCTATGTGGGCAGGGGTGGGGGCCTGGGCAGCTCTCCTCACCCCCCACCACTGCCCCACTGCCCACCGCTCAGCCTGCTCTGACCCCAAACACAGACCCTCGGGGCATGCACTGCCAGATTTTGGGGGTCCATCCTGCCCACGGGGACGCACTCAGCCAGGACGTGGCACCAATCCCTCTGTGCTGGGCACCGCTGCCCTCATCCTACCCTGGTTATGCCACGGTCCCACCCGAGGGAGGCAGGTGCCCAAAAGGAGGGCTCGTCCGGGAGTTGAACCCGGGACCTCTCGCACCCAAAGCAAGAATCATACCCCTAGACCAACGAGCCGGGGTGCTACACCCCAATGCACCCCCCCAGCCTCTGCACCCCACGATTTTGGGTGTTGTTGAGAGTGGCTGATACTGCCTTTTGCCCCTGGCACAGCCTGGAGCCCACAAATCTATCTCACTGTGCCCAGGATGAGGGGCCAGTGTTTGGAGGTGGTCACAACACACAACTACCCTGGCCGCAGTGGCCGTGGGGGCAGTGGGACCATGGGGGTCAGCAGGGACCCCTGGGCACAGCCCTGCCCATGCAGAGGGGATGTAGCTCAGCGGGAGAGCGCTTGCTTTGCATGTAAGAGGCCCTGGGTTCAACCCCCAGCATCTCCATGTCCTTTTGCCTCCCCAGACCCCCTCTCTGCCAGCTGTGGGGCTGCAAGGCCCCCCCAGAAAAGCCCTGGGGCTGCCAGCAGGCACAGCTGGCCCAGGACTCGGGGGGGACAGCAGTGATGCGTGGTGGGCACAGTGGTGTCTGCAACCCACACCAGGACCCCCAAGAGAGGGAGCTGCCCTGCCCAGCCCAATGCTGTGGTGTCTGTCAGGGGGAACAAGCAACGAAAGCCAACAGCTGGCTCCAAATGAGCTCTGTATCACCCAGACAAAGCAGGGCAGGCTTTGCCCAAGGAGAGGATTCCTCAGGGGGTTGGACCCAGGTCCTCTCCCATCTGAAGGTGGAACAGTACCCCAAGCCTGTGTTGGGCTCCCCAGCCCTCCCCCTTTACCCCACAGCCATGGGCTCAGTGTGGGTCCCAGCTGGCCCACTGGTAAAAGCATCTACAG